TGCTTTTACAGTCTTTTCAGTATTGTGCATTTCCAAATTCCAAGATAATCAGGTGATTTAATAACTAGGCAACTGTTATTTGATTAAATCAATTTCTGTACATTTAAGAATAAATTAGCTCTTTTCTCCCTTTGTCTCCATCCTCTTGCCCCCTCCCCCCCCCAAACCTCTCTCACATGGAACTGTGATAAACAAATAAAAAGAATAAACTAGATTTTTTAATGGTCAAGTAAACTCAAGGAGCCAGGTGTGGTAGCTCTTAACTATAATCCTAGCACTTGGGAGGCACAAGCAGGTAGATCTTGGTGAATTTGAGGCCAGCCTGATCTACATAGCAAGTTTCAGGCTAGCAGGGTTACATAGTGAGGCATTGTCTCAAGAAAACAAATTAAGCAAACCAAAAAGTATTCAGGGGGCTTGGGAGATGGCTGAATGGGCAAAGTGCTTTCCCCCTGTAATTATAGGACCATGGTTCAGATCCCCAGAATCCATGTAAATGTCTGGTGGGTATGGAGGAGACCTGCCTGTAATTCACATTCTCAAACGGTAGAGGTGGAATCTCCCTAAGAAAGCTGGGTGGCTAGATGAGCCAAATTTGCTTAGTCTGGGCTCAAACTTGAGACCCTGCTTTAATAATGAAGTGGAAAGCAATTGGGGAAAGACATGTGAAGTCACCTTAGGCCTCTTTATACACACGCACAGGCACATACACATACACACACACACACACACACACACACACACACACACACACACACATACACACCCTAACATATTTACATGAATACATGTTACATATGAGAAAAAACAAACAAAAAAACTGATCACCAAAGAAAAATCCAGAAAGACTGTTCTGTGGTGTGTCAATGTTGTATGAAATCCTAAGTTCAATGTCCATGAAGTCTTACTGGAATGCAGTTGCATGTATTTTCTCACCTTGTGCCTACAGGGCCTTCATTCTACACAGCGTTCTGTAGTACAAGTCTGATGTTTGCTGTTTGTGCCCTTTTACAGAAAGAGTTTGCAACCTATAAGTTAAACTACATGCATATTCATACCATTCTAACAATAAGCTCTGGGCTATTTGATTACAAAACACAAATGGAAACTATAAATAGAAAAAAAGTTCAAAGAAAATTGGTTCTTGCAGAATCTGAACTTTTCAATATGTAAAGATAATTCTGAAAATGCTGCTTTGTGTATATACAGCTGACATTCAGCTTTCAAAGCCAGGGGGAACACCCTCAGAGTTGGACAATTTACAGTTGTTTGCCAGAGAAAAGAAAAAAACCTATAGTGCAAACACTCTCCTAGAAGGCATGGCTAAGAATCAGAGTGGCTCTGTGAAGTTAGGCAGTAGTCCTAATGGTGGCATAATCTCTAAACACGGTAAGGTGGCCATACTTTATGGACCCAAAACTGGGATAAGCAGACTGAGGAGTGTGAGTGTGTCGGGGGAAGGCTCTGGTTTCTGAAACAATCTCAGACACACCATTGTGATACCTACAAATCAGACAGAGATGTTCAGCTTTGAGGGCCAACCATATTAACAGACACTTGTTCTTGCCAAGAGGGTATTTTAACAGAGTAAACACAAGAAAAGGCCAGCAAGATGGCTCAGTGGTGTAAAGGACCTTGTCACATAAACCTGGTGACTTTAGTCAAATCCTGGGAACTGAGTCTGGAACCCATATGAAAAAAGAGAGAAGGCTAGTGATCAATTAAAGACACTTGTTGGCTGAGTTCAAACCCTGGGGCACACATGGTGGAAATAGAGTCAACCCTAGCAGAGTCTGTTGATTTCCACACACACACTGAAGCCCACACATCAGTAGTTTTTTAAGTGGAAGGAGAGGCTGGAGAGGTGGCCCAGTGGTTAAGAGTATTTACTGAGCTTCAGATGTTGAGTTTGGATCCCAGGGTATACATGAGGGGCTCACAACCACCTGTAACTCCAGCCCCAAGGAATCCAGTGAGTCTCCTCTGGCCTCCACGGGATCAGAACATGTATGGTACATGCACACATACACAATTTATTTTTAAGTGGAAGGAGAGCATGATTCCAGAGTTTTCCTTTGACTCCCACATGTGTGCCATGGCCTAAGGATGCCCCCAATACATTTACACATAATAGAAAATAAATTTTAAAAATTAAGTCAAGATATAACTGCAACCTCAGGGTTGCTTTTTTTTTTTAAAGGAATGAGTTACTGAAGCTAAATATGTTGGTCCATGCCTGTAATTTCAGCACTTGGAAGATAGATACAGGAGGATCTTGAATTTGAGACCAGCCATACATCAAAGTTGGAAACAGCATAGGGTATGTAGCAAATAACAAAACCCAAAGAATGAATTTTTTTTTTTTTTTTGAGACAGGGTTTCTCTGTGTAGCCCTGGCTGTCCTGGAACTCACTCTGTAGACCAGGCTGGCCTCGAACTCAGAAATCTGCCTGCCTCTGCCTCCCAAGTGCTGGGATCAAAGGCGTGCACCACCACTGTCCGGCAAGAATGAATTTTTTTAAAGTGTACTAGGTTGTGAATCTGGAGCTCAAGGAGTTTGAAAAAAATCAAGTTTCCAAATCAACTTCCCCAAATGCAGACTGTTAAAAATGAAAATGTTAAAAATAAGCATGATAATAGAACTAGGTTATCTATTGGTCTGTCTGCCTGTCTGTCTGTCTGTCCTGAAGACTGAGTTCAGGGCCTTATACATGTTCTACCACTGAGCCATCCACACACATTTTTAACATTTGCACAATCACCTCTGTGAGTTCTCCCTTTATAGATTTGACCAAGACTGTATCAAAAATATTTTTTTTTCAGAAAGTTGCAACAAGTGTAGTGTGAATTCTAACCTGTTAAGTATTACAAGAATCCATATGTAGGCATGCCCTGATGTCATTTCCAACCCTTCACAGACCTGTGCTCCCTTGAGCATTCACTTGAGCAGCTTATGCAGCTCATCCATACACGTCCTGGTTTGGTTTAGTGACTGTATTGGTTCTGAATACAGAACAAATACAACCATTACTTCCTGAGAATTTTTTTTTCCTTCCAGACAGGGTTTCTCTGTGTTGCCCTGGCTGTCCTGGAACTCACTCTGTAGACCAGGCTGGCCTCAAACTCAGAAACCTGCCTGCCTCTGCCTCCCAAGTGCTGGGATTAAAGGCGTGCGCCACCACTGCCTGGATGAGAAATTTTTATAGTAACTATCTACATGCTTTCATACTGGAAAACCCATTGTAAGCACTAGTTAGAATAAGTAGTCTGGAGACGAGTTATACACAAATATTATAACAGCACACACATATAGGTGCCCACACACTCAGCTTTGGTATTCATGCAAGGTCTTGGAAGCAACCATCCAAAGACACGGACAAACAACTGTACATTTTAAAGAAGCACAATTCAAAGGCGGGCAGCAAAGTGAATCTTACTTGCATTCTAAGGGGATGTTCAGAACAGTTTTATGCTACACACTTACCTGTTTCTTCCCAGCTGCTCAGTATTGCACCACCCTCCTGCAGACCAGGATGCTTCTCATTTCACTTAGGATTGGAAACTCAGTGGATTCTCCTTTGGTGCTTTCTAGTCAGCTGATATGCAAATGTGCACAAGAAGATGGTCGCAATCCCTCTACTTTCATCTTGTAGGTCACTTCAGAATGGCTATGTGTTCCCCAAATGCCTAACCCCACAGCCCACTCTTACTCTGGTATTCACTTTCACCTACAACATGGGAAATCTTCTGGTCAAACGTGTAAGATGGTGATGTAAGAGCACAGACACCCCCACCCCACCCCCAGCCACTGAGGGAGAGGATGTTTTCTGTGATCAAGACACAGGACAATAATCTTTCAGAGTGATTTCTTTTAAAAAAAAAAAACCTTATTATGCATTAAAACATCATAACAAACGACCTCAGACCTGTCCACTTACGAGACGATGGTATTGGTATCCAGTGAGAGGTTTTCTTTTACTCCCTCATTTTTCTGAGTATTCTTAGAGCTAGCAGTTTTAGAACACACTGTCAAAGCCAGAAGCCTTTTACTATACTTTCCCATACTAACTAGTTCTTAAAGTGTAACACAAAGGGACAACCTACACAGCTGCAGCCGGTGAGGAAGGCTGTGTCAGGACTGCCGTTCACACTACTACTCAGCTGACAGACACAGGAGGCCATCCAGGCTTCACAATGAAGGTCAGACACCAACAAAGACAAATGGGGCCACTATCCATTCCAACTTTGTGTGAACCAAAGATACTTATCGTAAAATGAAAAGATTAGCCAGGCATGGTGGCGCTTGCCTTTAAGACTTTAATCCTAGCACTCAAGAGAGGTGCATCTATAAATTCTAAGCCTCCTTGGTCAACAAAGGGAGTTCAAGGCCAGTCAAAGTACACAGGTAAGACCCTGTCTCAAAAACCCCAAAACAGAAAACAAGATTGAGAAAAAAGTTTAAATACTAAACCCAGCACTTTCCACACACACTCACCCCACCCTTTAAGAAGGGTTTCTCTGTACTAGAACTCACAGATCCGTCTGCCCCTGCCTCCTGAGTGCTCGGATTAAAGGCATGGGCCACTGTACCTGGCCACTTTCCACTTCTCTATAAACTGCTTTCTTTCCTGATCTCACAAACACAGCAATCTATTAGGCATATTTATTTGAAACAATACTTTAATCAAAACAAAGAGAAATGTGGAAGGAAAGAAATAACTGTCTTTAAAAAGTGTGTAACTAAGATCAATTTATTTGGTACATGAGAAGTTCTCAGAAAACAAAATTAAGGGCTCAAAGATGGCTCAGCAGGTAAAAGCATCTGTTTACCAAGCCTGATGCTCTGAGTTCTATCACCAAGACCCACACTGTACCAGAGAACTGATTCCTTTAACTTCTCTCTGAGCTCCACACATGGGCCACAGCACACACAGGCCCATGTACACACAAATACATAAAATAAAGACACATGTAATAAAAAAAATAAGGAAAATAAAAAATGAAGTGTCGCCACGTTTAATTTTCATTTTCTTCAAATATAGAATGAAAATAGGAAGACGAAGAAGAGGGGAACAAGCAGGTGAACAGGTTTGTGATAGGCTAAGTCGTTACTGTTGCTCAGGAAGGGTGGTCTTGTGCAAAACATCCTAAGAGCAGAGGAAGAGCCGGTGGAAGGAAGAGTCGTCATGTCCAAGGAGCAGATGACCATGTGAGTGCATCAGAAGCACACAGGCAGAGGTACTGCAGGCCTCCTCTGAGAGCACACTCACAGCCCTACACACATCCTACAACTTCCTTCCTACCGAATAGTACTTTTTTATATATAAAAAAATAATGTCTACACTAAGAAAAGTAGAAACCACAGGTGCAGACTTACATCTGGACAGAGATATTTACCTCAGAAGACACAAAAAAAACCTCAAGATCACAGTATACAGCAGTTATTTATTTAAATACTTGAAAAGGTCAATGGTGGAAAAAATAGGTTTATTGTGAGAGTTTATATTCATTAGATTTATTTTACCATTAAAAAAGTGTTGCCTCTAGGTTATCCTGGCCAGATATAGAACACTTCATGACACATGCAGCTACAGCTACAGCATTATACTACACAGACACGGCCATTTTAGGACGGTTTTCACTTCAGGTGAGATTCAGCAGTGGTCAGGGTGGCTTCTTTATTATAACTAAAAACATTGATAATATACAAATACTTTTCCCCATTTGATTGAAAGGGCTATAAAATTCATACTCTGACAAAGAAGCAATGTGGTGACACAGATAAACTCCACTACCTGCTCCTGCCTCAGGTCCTTAGCCACAACTTTCTAGGTTTTATGATGGCTTTGATGCCAGCCTACCATAAGTGATGGAAACAGAGTGGTTTTGGAAAGCTGACTTTGACTCCTGTGTGATCTTAAAAAAGGAGAGAAACGCTGGCTATAGAAGCCAAAGGATCGTTCTGAGTCACCTTGAAATAAATACGTGATGCCTGAGTAAACACAATCTCTGGGTGACTGAAACCTAGCAGGGTGAGCCAAGTGACTACTAGAACACTACTGTAGAAATGTCTGCAAACACCATTCCTAGAAGTCAGTTCGGGAGACCATATCTTGCTTGAATATGTACATTATTTACAAAATATTCCCTTTTGGCCTCTGAAATTTAGCCACTTATATTTGGCTACTAAGATGTTTTCTTTCCACATGCCAGCCAATACTGCAGTCATTACTATGAGTAAAATACTCTTATGCATGAATTACAAATATTTATAAAGTAACTCTGCATGTATAAATATCTCAATATTTCTAGCAGAATTTAAAGCATTCAGAATGTACATAAAAGTATGTTTTGGTAGGCCGGTTCTTTTTCTTAATCATCGCTGTTTCAATAGTGCTTTGTACATAGCAAAGCCCACAACTGCAAAGACAGTAGCACCAAAGCTTGCTCGAAGCCAGAATGTTGAGCTCTTGAGGTCAGCTTGTGTCACGTGCCTGCAGTCAGAAAATAAAATTAATATTTAAAACATTATTAGTAGGAAAAAGTTACAGTACTTATCTAACTGTCTATCTAGGGAAAGTATTAGCACACTTGTCAGGCTAATTGCATACAGTAATGCTTACCCAAAGCACTGACCAATATGGCTATACATACAATATAGACATCAGTAAAGACAAATGTCTTTACAATTAGCTACTACTTGGAAGTTAACACTTAAAATTTTATATATTTTTGTCACATGGGAAATGAAGTCAGATAAATCAGCTGAACACTTTTCAATGTTACCATAGTCCTTCAAAATGAGAATCAGGCTGGAGCCTCCCATTTTCAGGGTCACATTCATTGTATGTAAGGAAGACAAGTCTTCTGTCCTCAGGAATCAAAAGCTATCTTGTAAGCAGTTAAGTGACAAGTGACAATACTGTCTCAAGAGCAATGAAATTTACTCCCTCTAAAACATTCCAAAGAGGAAGGGAAGATTGACCAGTTTACATTAGTTTGGTTACTGCTAATTAAAGAGAAAAAACCCAAAACTAAACCAAACAAACCTTGATGTTAGTCAGACAGGCAGTGATAATGACAGCAAACAAAGGCCATGATGTAATGTGATGCATCAAAAGGTAACGGCGGCACAAAAGAAGCCATAGTATGCATGACAAGATCAGGGACAGCCTGCGCCATACACTGAGTTTGTGAACATGTTCAGTTAATAACACTGCTAAGCACCCTCAGGCGTCTCGAGTATGACAGCTTACCATGAACAGGACAGAGTTTAAAGCAATGGTCTGAACACTGTATTTAAGTGTCAGTGAAGAGAGTTAGGCTGGGCTTTCAGGTAAGCAGACACAACAGAGATGCTATGAGAATGTCCAGAATTAAGAGCTCAGTTTAGACAGTCTTGGCTACTTTACAATTAGGCAGATTTGAAGCAAGTGTCAGATCATTAAAAGAAGACACTGTCATATGCAAGGAATTAGGAGCCAAGAGTTGAAATCATACATAACTACTTAGACTTAATCACAGCTATACAATTTTGGATTAGTTTTCACAAATGCAGTCTGTTCTTCCCTAGACACCACTGCAACACAAGCCCGTGCTCCATGCTCCTCACCACAGGCAAACAACACATCACTCCACGGCTCATCCTCACCCCAAGTCTCTTTTCCCATAATTATGTTTTACACAGCAAAGTGATATCAGGTTCATTCTACATTGTAAGTTAGTTCTTCTAGCAGGCATTGTTTTTACTTTTTAAAAGGTTAGGGAAGAGAATATTTAGATCTCAGTTTTTTCTAGCTTGGAAGATTCTAACAAGGCCAGCCCACTGGTGGTGGGAAATGTTACCTGTTGTCAAGAAAAAGCTGACCATGAGATGACTCCATGAAGATGGAATCTTCTACAGAGCTGACGGCGTGCACCTGGTGAGTAATACTGCCTTCGTCGTCTGCTAACAGCATGGCACCCCACTCAGCTACCTGGGCTTTTAACCTTTCATACACATGCACACAGTTGGCAGTGCAGAGCAAAGCTCACGAAAAAACAGGACTCAAAATAACATCTTTCAATTAAACACCCTACATATATTTTGGGTTGCTTTTCTATCAGATTGAATCTTATGCTTTCTATATTTAAAATATATGTATTACATAGATAACTGCTGAGTTAAAAACAATCACTAAGTACTCTTTAAACATTCATACACTGAACCAGGAGACCGAAGCTGCTACATGCATCTCCAACATAACTTCAGGAGGCTAGTCTTAGTATACATGAAACACTAAAAAAAAAAAAAATCCTTCAAACCACTGCTGTAAAATCCTTCAAACCTGACAATCACAGTAGTCACTCAAATTAGGTTAACAATCACTAGTCATGAAGTTTATGTACTTAGAGTTTCAGAATGCTGAAAACTAAAAGCACTATCCATGAAAAAAAAAATGACTCCAACATTCCAAAATGTTAGATCATCAAGAATCCAGACTTAGGGGCTGGTGAGATGGCTCAGCGGTTAAGAGCACTGACTACTCTTCTAGAGGTCATGAGTTCAAATCCCAGCAACCACATGGTGGCTCACAACCATCTACAATGAGATCTGATGCCCTCATATGGGTGTCTGAAGACAGCTACAGTGTACTTACATATAATAAATAAATAAATCTTAAAAAAAAAAAAGAATCCAGACTTAGATGAACAGTTTGCATTTCTAAGAGGCAAAGAAATGACTTAAAGCAGTGGTTCTCAACCTGGGGCAGTAGCCCTGTAGGGGGTGTCCAATGATCCTTTCACAGGGGTCACCCAAGACCATCAGAAAACACAGATATTTACACTATAATTTGCAACAGCAGCAAAATATCAGTTATGAAGTAGCAATGAAGATACTTCTATTGGCAGAGGTCACCACACCATGAGGAACTGTATTAAAGGGTCACAGCATTAGGAACATTGAGAACCACTGCCTTAAGTAACATCACAGGCTGAGAGTGTATCAGAGCTTTTGCTTCAATTCTGAGTGCTTACTACAGGTAACCCTGGGGGATAACCTAGGCCTTGCACAAGCCATCACTCAGCTCCAGCTCCAGTTCTATGTATTCTATTCTGAGGCAGGATCTGTGATGTGCCTGGACCTATGAGCCTCCCACTTCTGCCTCCAGGGCTGGGATTACAGTCAGGAGTCACTTTGTCCACACAGCTTGCTTTTGTTTATTTATTTTTTCCTTTTTTCTTCAGTGTACAGGGAGAAAGCGATGAGTATTAAAGCTAGCCATGGTCACATCAGCATCTGTCACAATTAGTTCTCATCAGCAGTCCTTAAATGAGTGTGTGCTTCAAAGAGTTCCCTTTGTTGCTGTTGTTTTTGAGTTCTTAGATTTTAAGTATGTTGCCACAGCCAGCTTCCTTTCTATTTGTTGTTGTTGTATTCTTAAATATTTTATTAGGCTGGGTGATGGTGGGGCACGCCTTTAATTCCAGCACTTGGGAGGCAGAGGCAGGTGGATTTCTGAGTTCAAGAGTTCGAGGCTAGCCTGGTCTACAGAGTGAGTTCCAGGACAGCCAGGGCTACACAGAGAAACCCTGTCTCGAAAAAGCCAAAATAAATAAATAAATAAATAAATAAATAAATAAATATTTTATTAGACTTTGTAATGTGTTTTGTCTGCCTGTATGTATGCCTGTCACCCTTAGAGATCAGAAGGAGACTGTAAGGAGACTGGATTCCCTGGCTCTAGAGTCACAGACGGCTCTGCGCTGTCTCCAGCTCACCTGCCCACGTTCAGCAGTACTGTAACTACAACTCCCCTGTAACTTCTTAGAAAGGAATTTGACGTTTTCATTTTTATTCCTTTTATCTTTCCATTTATCCTTTTTTTTAAAAAATTGGGTATTTTATTTACATTTCAGATGTTATCCCCTTACCCCATTTCCCCCCCATCCAGGAACCTCCATCCTATGCCCCCTCCTCCTGCTTCTGTGAGGATGTGCCCCCACTCCTACCTCAAATCCCCCCCCACTGGGCATCCAGCCTTCATGGGACCAAGGACCTCCTCTCCCACCTATGCCCAACAAGGCCTCCTCCCCTACATATACAGCTGGAGCCATGGGTCCCTCCCTATGTGCTCCCAGGCTGGTGGTTTAGACCCTGGGAGCCCTGGTTGGTTGGTATTGTTGCTCTCCTCATGGGGCCACAAACCCTTTCAGCTCCTTCAGTCTTCTCTCTAATTCCTCCATTGGGAACCCCGTGATCAGTTCAACCATTTATCCTTTCTAACCTTAACTCATAGGCAATAAATGCACTAATACAGTGGTATTCTAACTTTACAACTCCATTTACACATCTCAGGGAGGAACTTTTAAGAAAATACTCTTAGATAACTGTAATGTATGAGTTATTAGGACACAGAAGTATTATCTATAGCTTTTCTTTTAAATTACATATATCAAGTTGAAAAGTATTACAGAAGGTTACCAAAACTATAATCAAATTCTGCTTCTATATATGCTATTAAAAAAGGTTTCTGGACCTCCTTGCTTCATTTCTCTGTCTCTACCCAGAATTTCCTACATTTATGTCTAATAATAATGTGTGTGTGTGTGTGTGTTGTCAGAAAAATCAAAGTCTGGCTTTATACATAGAAACCTTGCTTTGAAAGAGATCAAGAGACTTTAGAAAGGGAGAAAGAATATAACCAAATTATACTGTACAAAAATTTAAAAAGATGATTAAAAATCACTAAGTAGCACAGGTGACTGAAAGAAAAGAACACCTAAAGGACAGGTTAACTCTAGCATCCTCCTATACAGAAACACTGTCACATAAAGCAGTTGTCAAGTCAGAATAGTAGACGGTATGTAAGAATTCTGGATAGTCCAAGCCAGCAGACAAGCTCATGCCTATATATTTAGTTTATCACTTTCAGATTCAAAAGAGTATTTAAACATTAAAATAGTTTCAAATGGTGTTTTCCCCCAGCAACAAAATTTACACTGTTGGAAATGAAAGCAAAGCTAAGATGACCTGACTATAAGTGTATTTTCTTCTAGTGTGGGTGGCCAATAGGAATGGACCCACAGGCCCCTGTGTCTGAATGCTTGGCTTAGGAAGTGGCACCATTAGGAAGTATGGCCTTGTTAGATGAAGTGTGTCACCATGGAGGTGGGAATCTGAGGTCTCATATATGCTCAAGTCTGGCCAGTGTGGCATAATCTCCTTCTGCTGCCCTCAGATCAAGATACAGAACTCTCAGCTCTTCCAACACCAAGTATGTCTGCATGATGCCATACTTCCTACCATAATGATAATGGGCTAAACTGTAAGCCAGCCCCAAATTAAATGTTTTTCTTTATAAGAGTTGCCTTGGTCACAGTGTCTCTTCACAGTGGTAAAACCCTATGACAGAAGTTGGTACCAGGAGTGCAGCATTGCTGTGATAGATGACCATGCTTTTGTTTAGAGAAATGTGGATTTTGGGACATTGATTTAGGAAAGCAGTAGAAT